AGATAATGGTGCTTTGCCCTGCTCAAGTCATCTGGATTTTGGTTTGATTGTGTTTCAGACACACGCTTTCCATACAGACTGTGGGTGAGTTTCTGCAACAGGAAGTTCTTCTTCCCGAGGTCATTTGCTTTCGTTTGGGTCAGTGCAGCTGTGCTGACAAACAGGAGCGAGGGGCATGAGAACCAATTTCCCCATTTGAGGCTACAGGAAAACAATGCCGCAGACGCCCCAAGTGCCAGGAATAGTTTGGGGCCCAGTCTCATGGGGGAAGGCAGCTCACATGGCATCTGGTCAGTGGAGGAAAGACCTTGTAGCTTCACCTCTTGGGCCCTGTCTGCTCCCCTCAGAGGGTTATGGCTGGGAGCAGCCACAGCCACAGCGCTCCTGAATCTGCATCTTGGCCCCCTGGGGCACTTGGTGCCCTGCAAAGGCTAAACCTGCACTGACTTCCCAGTCTCAATGCCTTGTGAAATCCCAGCCTATCATGAGGGCTAAGAAAGAGAGGGAAGGAGAAAAATGACTGAAAACAGAGAAAAGAGCTTCCTGCAGAGGTGGTGGCTGGCTCCACTAGTGGGTCCATCCTCTTTGTGTTTTCCCCAGCCCTCCCATCAGCTGCATATTTACCTCGAGGGGACAGTTCTGGTGAGCCCTGGTGGGGCCCATGTTGGGCAGGAGGCACCGCTGTGGCAAACGGCCTGGCGGGATAGTTCCCAACTGTCTGGGGAGGTTTCCCTGGTAGCTCCAGCTCCTCCACCTCTTCTTGATTTGCCCCAGGACCTCTTGCCAGATACCCATACTCTCAATGGGAGGAATATCCTTTTTGGCAGAATCCACCAATCTTTGGGCATGAAAGGATGTAGGAGAATAGGAGCAAGATGGAGGTGGTGTCAGAGGTAAGTGATGGAAATAATCCAGAATTAAATATTATTAACTAGCCTGAATGAAGCATGGCCAGGAGCACAAAGGGAGTGATCCCACATGCGAGGGATTGGGGCACCCAAGTTGAGTTGCAAGCGTTGATATTTAGCAGCTTGTTCCAACCATTTGTTGCTCCTTTCTATTTCAGCACAAGGCAATAAGAGCAGGAGGTGGCATATTCAGTGATCTTGTGCCATTTCCAAATTTATAGAGTCCTTTTGATCTTATGTGATATTAATAATTAAAGTGAATAATTAAATTTATTAAATTTAGAAAAGTGATATTGCCTAAATAATCTGTTATGATCATAAAAATCCGGAAGACCTTTCATACACTCTATGCTAAACTCTTTTCTTTTAATTTCAGTGATCATGTAAAAGGATGCTGTGCTACTATTCTGCAGCTTCTCCTGATTATGCAGCAATGAACATTTGCAGTTGATTTGAAGGAGCTAAACTTTGCATCAAATTTCCCTTGGGTGCTATGTGAAACTCCACAGTAAATGAACACTGCTGTAACTTAAACAGATAGCGGCTCTTCAGAGCGGTAAAAATAAAAACGCCTTTCTGGCAGACTGAGAGCTCTCTTCCATTCTTCACAAAGTCTGATAGTTTCCTTCCAACATTACTTGCCTTAAAAATTAATGCCTGGTACTTGCAGCGTTATCCTGTCACCGATGGGCAGCTAAGGAGGGTGAGATGTGAGTCTAGAGCGGGTACGTGGACGGGCACGTCCTCTGCGTGTTGGGGAACGGGCTCAGCTCATGAGAGAAGTTTGCTTTTTGTGCCTATCTTTATTCTTCTGCTGGGTCTGCAGGGACCTTTTTGTGACCACTCTCCACTCTATGTTCTCCTCTGCCATTGTCTAGAAGGCTGCTTTAAAACTCCGTCCTGGGTTCAAAACTGCAGGCAGCATCACAAAAACAGAACATTTTGGACTGAAGTTTGGAAAAAAAATAAAAAAAAGTTAAGCAAAGCAGAAAAAAAAAAACATTTAAACTTTCCAGTTTAAAACAAGAATATTTGAAAAAAAAAAGCTGAGTAAGCTGAAAACCTTTCTGCATAAAGACACAAAAGTAAAGAGAACTGGGACTCCCAGCATAACTGTTATGAAGTAGCCAGGAAATGAATCATTAATGCCGCTGGTTCATTATCACCAATTTATAATGGAGAAAAGAAGCTACTTTGGATTCCTCTAAAATCGATTAATCTCTGCAGTCACATACCAAATATGTAAGCCAGAAAAAATCCTTCCGTCCTGCTTAGTGATGTTCACTGCCCGCTGCTCCGGGGTGACAGGTCCGGCTGTGCCGGGTGAGCCCAGAGCTCGGGAAGGCGCCTTGGGATCCATTGCCCAGCCGAGCCACTGTTTAACCAGGCACAGTGCGTGTCCAGTGTGCCCAAGGCGGGAGAAATCCCGCGGCCGAAGGTCCTTGTTCCCTTCCTGAACGCTCCGTGAGCAACTGGAGTTCTCATGGGCTGATTCATCTCTAAACTGAGAGTTAATGAAGATGCACGTATTGAATAGCGGGCCGGCTGGCACGGTGCCCAGGCACTACAGCTATTGTGAGARAATTGCTTGAGAAAGGGAAAATTAGAGAAAAAACAGGGCCTAACAGACATTATGGCATTACAGCGGCTTGCGTGAGGTGAGAGACAGTTACCGCTTCCAGGGTGGCTGGTATGTACGGAATCTACTTCTCCACAATCCCTTGGCAACACAGTGTGTCCTCCTAGCACACAATAATGAGAGTAAATGAAGAGTGGAGCAGAATGGAGACCCCGTGGCCAGACTTTGTTGGCTTCCCTGCAGAGGTGGTAACCTGATGGTGCCTGCAGCTGATGAGTGAATGGAGGGTGGAGCGGAGTGAGGACACCGTGACCAAACTCTCTTGCACTCCCTACAGAGGTGGCAACCTGGTCGTACCATGCAGCTAAGCCAYGCGGTATGATGAGATGTTTGGGGCTGGGTCAACAGTGGAGGCAGATCAGACCTTCTGATGGACTTTGCTCAAACTTCTCCTCATTCTAATCCCTTTATAATACCAATACACAACCCCATCCTGGAAGTTATCCACTTCCAAGGAACGACCACTCCTCACTGAGCATGCTGTCAATTAACTCAGGAGACTTTTTAAACCAGTCAATGACCAAAGATTGGTTTGACTAGARYCACTCAAGCTCCACCTAAATGTAAAAGAAAAGGTGAGCTAAGGAGGGTAGTGGTAGGAAGAAGAAAAGAAGAAAGGAAGAAGGAAAGGTGGAAAGAAGGAAAGAAGGAAGAAGGGAAGAAGTAAGGAAGGAGGAACAAAGGAAGAGGAGAGAGGGAAGACTGCATCAGAACTTCTGGATCAGTCGTCAGGCTGAAACTCTTTCTTCCCCTCTGGTCAGGACACCACCTGAGGAGACTCCTCAAGATTGAGAGCCCTCTCCCATCTTCTGGGGTGAGTGATGATTGCGCATTTGTACAYTAGGCAGTAGCTAAGAACCCCACATTGTAGTAGAGAATCTCCTATACTGATATCTAGAACCTGCTCTCTAAATGTTGCATTTGAATAAATTGTGCTGTTTGTGAACTCGGCTACTTGTTTTGAGGGTGATCGGACCAACAGACAACAGATGTTTAAGAATAAGTACCTTTGAGTACTCRAGTTGAGTACTAAAGCTGACTATTATAGTTGACTGTTAAAATCTACTACAATTTAACTAAGTCAACTATTAATAMACTCATATACTGTTACAGATGACACAGTTAAAGCAATCAAGCTTCAGTAGACTATTTTCTTTGAGGTAAGTAGATCCGGAATTGGAGCCACAAGCTGGATATTATCCCTTACACAGCAGCTCTGTGGTATCTGGCAACAGGGACTACCAAATGCTGCTGGCCAATGTCAGCTGTCTGCTCTAAACCAACAGTTTTCATCAYGTACCCTGCCTATTTTTAACAAGTTTAATGTGGTATAGCTTGTGTGTGTGTATGCGTATACACATATACATAGATATGTGCATACATGTCCCTACCGGGCTGCTGAAACAAAAGTCTAACTGCTCTTGAAAGTGATTGATTGATTCTGGACAAGGAGATTCCTCCTTCAAGAAAATCCCATAGGCCTTGTATATTGGGCCTAATATGACATTTGTTGCCATTAAAAATAAATAAATAAATGAAATGATTGCAAGAAGCTGTATGTGATGATGGAGATGTAAGCTCTTTGGGAACAATTTTCATGTATTTTCTATCTAGCTAAGACTGCTTTGCCCCACAGACTAACACTGCCATGGTGGGATGAAGCTCTTCAGATTCCGCACCAAGCTCTGCAGCGACCCTGGGGCCATCAGGGCTGCTGGGCCTGGCTGCAAAGGTTAAGGCGCAGGGCTGAGCCAGGGCCCTGTGCTGCTGGAGGCTAGCCAAACATCGTAGATTTGCAAGAGAAATGATGTGGTGTCTTCTTCAGCACCACCACAAACGAATCTCCTCTGAGGGATGCCACAAAAATTCTTCAGTAGACACTTCTCCCTGAAGCACAGGACCAATGTGTTGATGCAAAAGAGGATACAGACCAAAGCTATTAAATTATTGTATTTAATAAATTATTGTTTGATAGAAGGACACTTTTAATAAGGGAACAAATCCGATCTGAAATAATTTTGTGTGTGTATCTTACTACAACAGGTAAGATAAAATGATATAAAAATCTAAAAATACAAGAATAATGCAAAATAACCTCTGTTACAATAAAATACTAGGCAAATGTTGGCAATAGGTGGCTTTAAAAAAGCCACAATAGGGAATAGTTCAGGTCATGCTCTAGCTTATGAAATATAAAATAAATGCAATTGCTCATCAGGTTTCTTTCATATTTTAAAACAAGGAAAAGATAAAATAGTCAACCTATGAAAGAATAACTATATTATAGYATTTGAAAGAAAACCTTTGTGTATCAATATCCAAGCAAAATGTAGATATGATTTGCTTCCTCTCTTAGATAACCAATTTGAGCATATTTGTTCTCATTTTTGTGTAATATGAATATTTAGAAATGCCTATATATGCGAAATACATGAAAAAAACACCTGACAGAAAATCATATTGTGTTGACGTGCCCAATTGCTGCTGAATATTGACAGCATTAAGTGAGAGCTATGCTAAGAGCCACCATTTGAGAACAGRAAACAAAACAGAAGTTTTATCTCTAGTAGGGAAAAGTCCTAATCTGAAAAGTGAGGTAAATACAAAACACAATTACAGCAATATAAACCAAGAGAGTGTTCATTAAAAAAAAAAAAATCCAGTGTTCCCATTCCTATAGGAAAGAGGTTTTGCAAATATATATCCAAAATAAATGTTGAACTACAGGTGTGCACCATTGAATATAGGAACTAGTGTTGTGACACTTACTTCTGAATACCATATACTTCTGAATATCTATATAACACAATAGTGTTAAAATCAGCAACTAGGTCGTGTGTGTGTGTGTGTGTGTGTGTACATATTTTTGTAATTAGCAGGTCTTCAAGTAGGTCTTTGAAGCTATATTTTTATTCTGCTAAAATTACTCAAATGGCAATAACTTTTGTTTGTGTGTGTGTGTGTGATTTGCTTAAGAAGGGTGTTATCAACTGAACTTAGAAAAAAGCTTTAGGTCTTAGTTTCACCCCTGAGAACAGTATCTAACAATATCTCGTATCTAACCCTCAGTTTTTCATATAGAAACAGGTACCAACAATCTGAAATATAAAGAGCAAAGATCACAAAGCCCAGAGCAGCCTCAAATCTGTTCGTGCCTCCTTGGGAACCTGAATGGAGGAAAGCATAGAATAAAAGTTTAGATTATACACACACAAAAGACAATTCAGAACTGTATGATCAACAAACAAACAGAGGCACTGTATTTTGGCATTCATATTTTCATTCTGTTTTCATTTTGTTACAATATCTACAGCGTGCTAATTAAACTTTTCTATTTTTACACAAAACAAGAAAAAATAAAAGTTCTGTCCTTGCTAAAGCTAAGGTATTTAGGTACCACTAGYGCACGGAGTCCAAAGGTTATATCTGGTACTAGACTTGATTAGGAAATGAATTTGCCACTGTCATAAGCTGTTTTTTCACTGAAAGTTGACACATATTCAGAAATATTTTCATTCAATTTCCATGCATTTTTGAAGTTTAAGAAAACTCATAAAATCAAAACAAGCTATTGTATTGACATGATATGTAGGAAGATATTACTTTAACTTAGTATTTCACAACCAGAAACCATTTGAAACATGGCTTTGTTGAAATTTCTATACCACATCCTTCCAATTAGAAGGGAAACTCTTAAATATTGGCTTGGAGCAATCCACATTTCAGAAGAAGCAATCCAGCCTAGTGCCCATATACTTAACTTCTGAGAACTCCTTGGTTGTGTGGATTCCCCAACTTGACCCTGTGTTCCTATGATATCCTTTCAGCAATGGTAGCAATTACATTTAATCTAATTAAAATTATTACATGTATATTTTACATTCATGTGCTATTATTACATCTAACAAATTTTTAGCTTCTCAATTGCTTAATGAAGTTTGGTAACTAAAACCAAAGGTCTGGATCATGGGATAAGACAGGTTTGGAGCAACAGAAAGAGTTCTGTGATCAACAGGAAGGGTTTGGGCACTTCCCCTCTGCTGTTTTAAGTTCATATACCCTAACATCAGTGTCTGTAATGATTCCAATCCTTTTTTAAAATATATTTTTTTTCCTCTGGTAGTATATACTCTCCTTTGGAAGCTCTGCTCTCCTGATTGGTCTTTGAACCTTTACATACATGGGTTTTCATCTCAGATTGAAACCTACATTTAGTTTCACAGAACTCTCTTTATGCCAAGGAAAAGCTCAAGTCCTCCTCCAAAGTGTGGAGGATTATATATGGATGTATACAAACAGAATAAATGAGAATGATGTAGTGCTAGAATCAAATGTTAGCCATTTTAAAAAGCTCCTCTTGTATTGCTTTATAACCTTATTTTTATTAACACACTCCCTGTTTTGACCAACAAAATCCAGGAGAAAATGAAGAATATATTGCCATTTCCTGGCCTAGCTAGCAGGTTGTCAAAAATGGCCCTTTTTTTCAAGAAATTATAAATAATAATAAAAAAATCACATTCATAAATTACAGATCCAAGTCCTTCCTGTAGACTATATCATTAAATTCCACTGTCAAAACTTCTCACCCATAAATTTTGCAACACAGTAAATTTGAAAACTCACAAGTAATTCTCAAGTGTTCAAATGAAAGTAAGTATTGTGAATGGAAGTGTACTAATATATCATAAAGAAATGCAGAGCAAAGCATTTTAGCATCAAAATCCTAGGCACCTATCAGCTAACAGAAGTTATTTGAGCTCTAGTTATAAGTAATGAAGAATGAAGAAAGCAAAGAAGAAACCAATATAAAGAAACACTTTATATTCTGCTTCTTTATTATTATGTTTTTCCATTTGCTTTCTACAATGTGTGTTTCGTCCTTCATTTTGCCCACTGGTGTCTCTGTGATGGTCTTTCTTACATTTATATTTTGTTTTGAATGCCTACAACACTTCTGCTTCTCTCTGAACCTCTTTTCTGCCCAGGTTACTCCTTCCAGCATGTTTTAACACTAAAAGTTTGCAATAGGTTAGTAGATCAATTAGCACTACTGATTTTCACTTGGTATATAAATCCTGAATATTCCAAGCAAAAGCTTGTGCTGTCCTGCAAGGCTAACATCAACAACTACTTGTGGCATGGGAAGTATTAGTTCAAATATTTGACTATTAAACTGATTTTATTCATTTTGTGGAACAGGCCATTTTGTCCTTGGATTAGATTTAGCATATTGCCTATCATGTCATAATATTAAATGATATACATAACCACCTTAATGGTTATATGCTCTTAACTTTAGCTCAGATTCAAATAAAACTCAGCAGCACAGAAATTAGATTTTAGTTTGAAAAAAATATTGAAATAGATTCTGCATGCTAATAGTATGCAGGACAAGATGCATACAAAATGTATTTAACATTACTTCTTTCTTTCCATCAAAAAAACAAAAAAGCAAAGATTCTTGGCTTCTGTTACATTATTATCATGTTCCAGGAGCCACTCATTTAAAGCGGTGGTCCCTTTAGAGATAGTTAATAAGAAAATCAGAAGCTAATATAAACACATAGTATGATTTTAAAAAAAGGAAAAAAAACCCTTTCAAATTAATAAAGAGCATACCCAGTGTTTTCCTGCAGTCCTCCACAACATCCTAAACAGAAGGCTTGCTTCTTTTGGCTCTCTTTAACTTTGAAGAGCTCTCTTCTTTCTGTAACAATAGAAAAGTAGTAAAGCAAGGTAGCAACAATCAAGCTAACAGCTCAACCAACAGTTTTCTTTTTGAGGGAAATTTTTAATTAAGGAGTGTCAGAAATGGAAAATAAACACTTATATTAATCAATGTAAATCTCAGGTAAAGTAGGATTATATGAACAATAGAAACACAATTAAAACCAGAGCTATTTTAAAAATACCCTTACAAGTACTGACAGCCAAAAGTTCCAGAAGCAACTGATCAGTTTTAGTATCCAAATATGAGATAACGATGCAGGCTTCGTTTTCAGAGAAGTGTTAGCTGACATCCCCATGACACAGAGCAGGATTCRGTCCCATTACATTTTATTTTGGGAGGAGGTGAGAGGAGATCTGATTAATATGTAGGGAGCAAGRGGCCAAACTTTTCTCAGTGGTGGCCAGTGACAGGACAAGGGGCAATGGGTACAAGTTGAAACACAGGCAGTTCCATCTGCACGTGAGGAAGAACTTCTTTCCTGTGAGGGTGCCAGAGCCCTGGCACAGGCTGCCCAGGGAGGCTGTGGAGTCTCCTGCTCTGGAGATCTTCCAAACCCGCCCGGATGCCGCCCTGTGCCCCGTGCTGTGGGTGTCCCTGCTGGAGCAGGAAGGTTGGACTAGATGGTCTCTAGAGGTCCCTTCCAACCTCARCCATTCTGTGATTCCGTGAGGTGGAACTGGACGAGAGCCGAGCGCTGCGGAGCCCATCCCAGCCAGCCACCAGATCCTCCCCTGACCCCTGGGTGTCCAGCTGAGCCCGGCTCRTGCAGAGCCCCGTGCAGAGCCCCGTGTCCTGTCCAGCAGCGCCAGGGAGGCGCTGGGARCACCGCAGGGACACGCGGATCCGGCCAGCTCCGAGGGGCTCGGCACCCTTCGCACATCAACCCATTCACCTGCACACCTTACAGATGTGTCTGTAAGAAGGAGAGGGAAGATGCTACTAAATATTAGAGAATTGATAGTTTGAAGTACAGCCCTTGGGTGGATGACAGCAAAACTTAAGAAACATGAAAAAAAAGAAAAAAAAGGAGAATATTATAAGTCCATACTATTAATGTTAGACCAGCATTTACAGGAGAAAGTATATAAAAATTTAAACAGTATGAGTAGACTATCCAATTGTTGCTCTTGACCTTTTCTAGTGTTGTATCAGCAACTGAAATATATTAAATAATTAAGAGAATATAAATATAATTAATTATATATAATYAAGAGAACATAAAAGAAAAAAACAGAATGAATTACAATGAACATTTGGAAACTCTCATACACTCTGAGCACTTACATAGCCTAAGAAAATGTCCATAGTTATAGATTAGACAGGATAAAACTGTTTTCTTTAGAACCAGAATATCTGCATCAAAAACATTTACTCTAAAACTTTATTTCAGCATCATTTTTCTGCAGAAAACAAGCATTTTAAACATATACTTGAAATAATATTTAACATTGCTGATCGATGACACTAGCTTTATATAGAGCAGGATCATTAAGATTTCGTTGCTTTCTCTGATTTAACTGGAACATACTAAAAGGACAAAACACATATTTACCTTTTTTAATCTCTTAGTTTAAATCCTTGCAGACCAAATCACAGGTGGAGAGGGTTGGGATGGGGGAGGGAGATGGCTTGTATGGTTTTTTACCTGCCGCCTTCTGACACAATCTGTCTTTACAGGTGCTTCCATGTTGTTGTCCTTTATTGAGTAAGTCTGTTTTGAGGTCAGTATTTCACATTTCAGATGTTCATTCTCTGTAAAAATCTTAAAGTATAAAAGTTTATAGCAAAATTAAAAGAAATCTAGCGTTTTCTACTAGTTAAAATTACTGACTTTTCCATTAATACATTTTGTCTGACCTTATCAATGCATCCCATCAGTACTTAACATCAGTGTGAACTGTGTAGATAATTTAACTGCTCCTCAAACCAAACTTCCTCTTCACAAACTTATTTATCCCTGTTAGATACTGCTGCCTGTCTTGTCATTCTAAACAGCTACTCTGTAATAATCTGGTGCTTTTTATTTCTAGATGCTTCAACATTTAAGAACTAGTAGAAGTGAAGGACTGTACTCATGAAACAGCAAAAGATGCCCTCATAACATAAATGTGAAATCATCTACCAGTTACATTTCATACATGAAAACAGTGACAAAAGCAACAGACATCATTCACGTACCCATCTGGGCTATCAGCCATAGAAAAACAGCACTGGAATCACTTCAGCCACTTGCTCTATTGAAAAACAGGCACAGAACCCAGAAAGTGGATGTGGTAAGGGACGTGYGGAGGGCAGCCCCGCCTGACTTGGACTCAAAGCAGAGCTAATGTCAAGGCTAGATCAGAGGGCTTTGGTCCTTGTCCAGCCAAGTTTTGAAAATCTGCAAGACTTTTTTTTTTAATGCCTCTCTGTGCAACTTGTTCCAGTGAGAGACTTCTCTCACTCTGAATATTTTTTCCTTTATATCAGTAGGAATTTCCCCTGTTGCAGCTGGTAATTTAAGGAAATTTTGATTATTTTTTTTTTTTAAATAATTTGATTCTTTTATGTCTAAGAGCCCTATGCCTTACAGTCACTACAGCTAAAACAACATAACTGATGAGATCTAAAATTCTTTCCAGCATCTACTTATTAATACAGTTTTGCATAAATACGGACAATGTTACCATATTACCTTTATTCAAATCTCAATCGGCTTTCATAAAAAGTTTTAAAATGTGAAAACTAATTATATTAAAAAAATCCCAAATAAATGTGTTGATCTCAGATGACAAAGTGAATCATCCTTTTTAGAAAAACAAAAATAGCAGCAGAGGCTGAAAACATTAATGCATACCACAAAAATTTAGAAAACTACATAGAGAGAATGATGTTAGAACATGATGAAAGTCATGCTCTTTAGTGCTTGTTGTTTTTTAGGATATTCTGAATTTGTGAAAGGCAGRGAGGGTGCATGCTGTATTTACCATACCTGCTCACTGCTAACTTTTGAGAGACGACTGCTTGTCTTGGTGAGGCACTCCCTGTAACGGCGTGAGTTTTGATGTTCCTCATTTTTTTCGATGCGCATGGTATCATGTAAGATAGATTCATGAATATTTAACCCTGCTGCTTCATTTGATCTTTTTGTTTGCTGCTGTGATAAACCAGAATTTGTCATTTCATTGTCTAATTTACSCATCGGCAATTTTCCATTCTGTGAGTTGTGTTGCTTCTCAAGAACTTGTGTGGTACTTTGACTTATCAACTTTTTCCCCTTTCCTGTACTGGAAATAAGAGCTGCACATGTACTCAGACCCACACTGGTGTTTGCTTTCTGAACCACTGACCTAGGATTCTTAGGTAATGAAGCAGAATTTGTCTTACTGTGAATGACTTTACTTGAATTCCCACGTGAAGGAGAGCTATCTGAATAATCAGATTTAGCAGCTCGTCTACCAGACTCTCTTTTCCACTGAAATACAGATATGCCACGTTTTACACCTGTTTTCTCTGTTACTGTTTGCAGTGCAGTGCTGTGAGTAGCGTTTTTGACTGGTACATTTTGAGCAGGTTTGTAACCCTGAGTCAAGCTGGACTTGCACGTGGTCAGCACAGATGCTGAAGCATTCATAATCTTTACTGGTGAATGTCTCCCAGAAAGTTCGCTTTTGTTCCCATCGCTCTGCCTTGTGTTTTTTCCATTCTTTGGCATCAACTTTCCTTTGAAAATAGGTATAATTTTGCTAACAGTTTTTTGGGGGGAGCCAGAGGCTGAAGTTTGAGGTCTTCCTAAAGATTTTGGAGAGTGAACCTGTAGGGCAGATACTCCTGGTATTTGCCTGCTACTCATGGATTTCTGTGCTGCTTCAGTGCTAACCTTTCCTACACCTTCACTGATGCTCAAAGAAATACGTGGTTTTGGCTCGCTGATCAAATGCTCCATCCAGTGGCTGTTTTCCATACTGCACAGGGAAGAAATTCTAGGACAAGTCTCTCTCCTTGGAGGAGCCTGGGTTAAAGATGCTGCACAAACCACTTCACCAGGCAGTGTCATACGCTTAGACTTTATCTCCTGCAATACAACAGTCGTTGCCAAATTGAATGAACTGAGTTTAAATATCTCATCTCATGCATCACTATATAATACTCAGAATGTATCACAATATAAGCCATACAGTTTCCTGCTTTAAGAGAGACTGATTTAAACAATATTTTGTGGTCACTGTCAATGAATTTGTCTGCTCCTCCCCTAGTTCTATGTTCATAAACTACACTGGGAATATCAGATTCCTCAGCAGAAGGGAAGATGTAAATTATAGACATGGTCTTGGTTTAATACTTTCCCGTGTGGTATTGCCCAGCATTTTTAGGGGGCCTGCAGAGTTGCCTCACTACTCTCCTTGTCTTTTATAACTTCTAAAAGCACTTCTAGTCTAAGTAAAAGACAGTCTCAGTGTCTTTAAAAACTGTCTAAGACAAGGAGGAGCCCTTCTAGCTTTGATCACTGAAGTGACATAAACAGAAACTGTGCTCTGAAAGAGGATTATAGTATTTTAGAATCTCCAGTTTCTGTCATGATTCTTTTTTTTTTTTCAGAATTAATTACTTCATTTTTTCTTTCAAACATGACTCATAAGGAAATCTCAGTTTCAGCCTCTTTTGCAACCTCACATGAAAGGAGTTGAGCTTTCTCTCTTCCTTTCTGTCACTTGCCACAAAGTAAAGCATACAGCCCGAGTATTCTCAAATGCTTAAATGTTCACACAATTTTATCTTTTCATGGTTTCTTTTTTAGAAATAAATTGTATAAAAATTATTATTATGGAAGAGGAAAAAGAATATTCTGGGAATAACTGTAAATAAGTATGGTAGAACTGCATATATTGATAGCAAGTAGTTAAGGTTACTTCCTTTTTTTATACATCTGTGCAAGTAAGAATATAATGATGTAAACATTAATATTAAACTATACATTTAATTAAAGGGTACAATACTAATAATTATTTTTTGAGAAAAGGATACTATTATGCTCTCACGTGTTCTGAATACAATAAAGATCACCTCATAGCATGAACAAATATGCATTAATATGTAGATAAAAGGCTTGCACGTACTAGAGCTCTGCAGAGTTCCTGTGTAGCATAAAGAGCTTTACTAGTCATCTTTASTGGAAATCCACACAGACGTGGAAGATTAGACTTCATGTCAGAAACAAAAGAGTTCAACACACTTTCTAAGTCTACTCGAGGGAAATACTGCACGGGCTGGCTTCGAATGCAACTTAAAGGGTACCTGAATAAGTGTTCAGGAGACGAAAAGCATGCATGAAAGCAYGAGAATGTTGAAACTTTTTCAAAAGGCTGAAAAAAACCCACTTACCTTCTTAAAGGACCAAAGCTTTAGAAGCTAGAGAACTTTAATAAGTTTATATCGCACTACCCAGCCTTACTCAGCTTTAGTGTTCTCCAGTCTACTCTTTCCTAGCAGGAAAACTCACTTTAAAATTAATCTTTTTAAAGCTTTTTTTTTTTTTTTTTTTAACTGTGACAACATTCTTCCTTTCAGGTCTCTGTTCAGAATGGCATTACTGCGTTTACAGAAGTTRTGAGGCCAAACAGTCTATTTTTGACTTAAGATTACTCAATACAGAGAGACCCAGGTAAGTATTTTGTTCCTATCTCCCTAGTGAAACAATTCCACTGTCTCTCATAAATTTATGCATGAAGCAAATGCAGCACATTCCAAGACGAAAATCTAGAACTGAGCATAAGCAGTAGTGAAGGAGATGTAACAAAAATGTACACAAAGGATACGTAAAAAGCCTTTCCCCTATGGGCTTGAAGTAAACACTGCAGTATGTTTTTGTCTCCTCGGAATTCTCTGGCAGAATATATCCATACTAAAAATATATATAAAAAGTACRAATTTACATATTAAAAATACAAATTCAAGAAATAGAAAGATAGAAGGAAAACTTTTAAAATAGTGTATTCTTTCTTACCAGGTTCTTCCAGTGCATCTGAAAGTCTTTATATGAATGAAAAGGAGCTTCTGAAGGAATTAGGTGGCTGATGCTTATGATCTGACCCATTTTCATGCTATGCATGAATACAGAAAAGATAGGAAAGGATGTCACACAGCACTGTTGAAAATACACTAGACTTTCGGAAAAAAAATCTCWTTTTTTTGGCACTGAAAATATTTATGGATTATTATTATGTTTCGAGTACTATTAGCTTTAGTTCATATGTATAAATATCTGTACTGACAGAACAACAGAACATTGAAAATTTGGAAAGTTTGACATTTACAAGTTTGATTTCTTCTTGTCTGTTATACAATTACAATGACTGTAGAATGGGAAAAATATTATTGCTTCTATGTTGCTGTGATAAAAAGATGGCAAATATAGAGGTAGCTTCTGATAAAAGGGGAAATATGTTTTCTTTAAATAGATGCTTTCTGCTAACATTCTACTTGAGAAAAAGCTCTTACATGTCACAAAGTAGCAGATTACTAAAATCAAAATAACATTTAAATGTCAATTGTAGCCTTCACTGATTATTTTTCWTTTGCCTTTTCTATAACATTGATAGAATAAAAGTAAAATGGCTTCCTGAAGGTAAAACAGACTATCAAATAGACCATTTGTCACTAGGATCAAATTCACAATTTCCATAGCAAGTATCCTAGGAAATATTTGTTTCTGCTGGAATTTAAACAAACTCCTACCTTGGCAAAACATAGCACCAGTTACTTAGAATGGAATGTCCATCAATCACAGTGTTTTCATTGCTGTCAAATATCTTTAAGATGTTTTCCGAAATATCAAACTCTCCCAGCTTAACACAGAAAAAAAAAGTTATTTGTAAATATTCTGTAACAGTAAAAAATAAAAATGTGCAGGAAGAATTATGTGTATCAAAACAGCCTGAAGGTCTTACAGCATTATTCATTTATCAGCTCTCACAGACTGCTTATTTCAAAGTGGTATTAACTCCATGGTTAGAGCCACACTTACAAACGGTACTAAAGTCAAAAGGCTTAAAGGTTATTTAAATCTATGAGATAGACAATTTATTTCAAGAAGGAATTCCTCAGCGCTCTCACTTCCCTGTAAGTTTTTTTGAAATTTTATTCAGAAACTCCTGTCTGACAACCCAGTTGCTACACATACCAACTTACCTGAGCAAGTGCAAAGTCCCCAGCACCAGCCCTGACAAGATACACAGCACACCTCTGCCCTGTGAGCAGCTCGAGAGACACCATGTATTTTCACAATGGAAAGGTTTGTCTAGAGTAGCCACTCAAAGACTTAAACTTAAGAAACATGTTCTCTCTCTGTGGTCTGCCATGGTTTGCATTAATTCACTGGCAGGAAATTCTGCCATTTCTGCTTAGAAGAGTAGGAAGGTATGAATATTAAAATGTGCATTAAAACTGCTTGAGAAACCACCTTGTGATCAGCTCTGTCATTGCTTTGTGTACTTTTAGAATTTGACTCCTAAAGATATCCTTGATATTTATGTTGTCATAAGAGGAAATTTTGTTCTTCTCTTCTGAAAAAGAAGAATTCAAATACTTACTTGGGAAGAAACTGGCAAGCCTGAGAAATAAACCCCTCTTTATATAAACATATTTAGCGAAAGTGGCACAAAAACTGCCACGAAGAAAGGTTATTTTTTAATCCTGGCCATGTTTTCTTAAAGCATTTACTAATTATTCTCAAAACCAAAACAGTCCAGGCTGTTCCCATGCTTTGAAAGTTGCATAAAAATCAGAACATTCCAGAAAAAAAGTGATACACAGAAATCTTATATGCAGCACTGACAACTGGATCTGTAGCTTCACCTTTGTTACTCAAACTTTGTATAGATAAATATGAGACTATGAGGCCTTCCAAGAACGCTGCTAGAAGGCAACTATAAGCATGAAGACACCTCAACACCATAAAGACAGTATTTTTCCAAAGGCCTCTCAATTAGTCCCTGTTTACAAAGATGGTTTGGTGTGCTTGCTAGAATGCATCAACAGGCATGCAACGCGGAACATTACTCAGGAACGTGCAGTCAGCTCACAGGATCACTGTCTTAGTGCAACCTGGAACAAACCCTTCTACCTCCACTAAATTAAAATCATCTGACAGAAGAGAAAATAAAGAGAAGCAGGACAAAGCTGTAGAACGAGTAGCTGCTACCTACCTCGGGGGGTGGCAGGCGGACCGAGCAGGCCTCCACACTGATGCAGAGCTGGGTCTCTGATACACTCAGGTCCATAACTGTAGGAAAATAAAGCCCAGAGCACCGTGTCTTGGTAGCCCATTTGTTAAGCAAAAGATAAATGGATTTTTTATTTAAAGTAATTTTTCATTCAAGCGCTGAGTTTGGAAATCATTAGATAAGACTCTCTGAACACAGAAATGGAAATTCATTACATTTGAGCTATGAAAATAATTATCTTCCATACAGTAGACCTCCCTAGTAAATCATGGCTGTCCATGCGACTGGATGCAATACCCATATCCTGAAAACACAAATGCCCATTTTCAAAGCAAATGTCTTTGATACATATATAAGCAAATGCATTTAATACAAATATAATCATTGGTTTATGTATCCTGGTACTGAGCATACAGCAGTGGTCAGTAAGAAAGGCTGTAAGACCAAGGCAAACATTTATTGCCACTCCTCTAGAACATCCAGCCAGCCTTAAGCAAGCACAGGGACTGAATGCATTATGTCCCTATTGCAAATTTAGGTTCCAATAGCTGAAAATCTAATCCTTAGTTTCTTCATTTTTTTGCAATAACTGAACAGCACACTTTAGGTGACTTAATGCATAGTCACTTTACCTCAGTTTCCTACCTAATATTATGAAACTTCCTCATCTTTTGTAGGACTGTTAATTTTAGACAAGTGCACTTCAATGCATTAATTGTGACTTTTTGATAGTAAATTTCAATCTATGGCCATGGCGTAAAAATAACAGCATAAAAACTACCCTTTCCTGTGGGTAACTTTTTAAAAGTGCAGCTCACTTGTCAACTGCTACATATAAAGAAAGACTTGCCACCAAATGTATTGTGACTGTCATTATTTCAGAATGAAACATGGAGAGACCTGGCCATAGAAGCATTTAGCTCATGAGAGCACATAATTATATCTTGCTCACAAAAGTTTACAAATAACAGAGTATCACACTTACCAACAGCATTTTGCCTTCCTGAATGAGACAAAAAATCCTTCCCTTAATAAATAAGTAAACATTATTTTGTAAAACATGAATACGTAAACATTATTCTGAAAACATGCTCAATGTCTTTATGCAAACGAAACGAAGAAATAACAGTCTCTTTCATGTGCATCAGGACTACTGTAAAGTTTGTTCCTTACATAAAGGGGAAGAACCCTTTATCAATTAACTTTTCATTAAAGCATTACTATGAAATGAAATAAAGACTGTTTACATCTATTTTTTTCCAATAAGRAATATGCATATGGCATTTTAACTAAGAGTTAATGAATTTCTAAGGCTCAAAAGCAAACTATTACTACATTTTACTATCTACCTATATGTTGCTAAAGCTGGTAGACTGTAGGTGACTAGCACTACTATGTGTTCCTTACATAAACACTTTTTAATCTTACTGATGGGGCAGAAACTGGGAACAGTATTATGACTGTGTTCATGTGAAGACACCGAGAGGATCATAGGAAGAACTAAGGGTGTGAGGCTACTCCTTAGTACTCTTTCTACAGACTGGCAGAAATCCAACCTTTACTTTTCTCCAGCTCTTACTCTGGCCCTATTTTCACAGAATTCCTCCAGGAAACATTTCCATCTGCTTATCCACTTCCCAACTGCTTGTCCCCATACTGCTCATTTTATTCCCTTTTAGTTATGCACTGCAACTGATTGTGTAGATGTGCTGTAAAATACATCTGTCAAACATTCCAAGATGAAAATGACCCTTCAAATAAAGAGAGGCAGAGACCCTAAATTTGGTCTCTTTGCTGCTGAAACCAGAATCCCACTCCTCATACTAACTGGTTTAGCAAGTCCTTAACRTTATTGAAGGTCTCTATCAACTTTCTGTGAGAGTTACGGCAAACATAATTAGAGGAAAAAGCAAAACCTCCTTCAATACTCCCTTTTCTTAGCAGATCTATTTAGCTGTAGTTGTTTTGCCCAGGTTTAACAACATATAGGGTTAGACAAGCTGCAAGTCCCAGAGGAACCTTATTGTTAGGCAGTGTCTGCTTCAGTGAAGTCAATTTTTTATCAGCTTCCAATCTAATGCTCTTTTAGCTGCTATCCCTGGATAAGTTGATTTCCTCAGGGAGCTATGTGTCTTGAAGGCACTGAAAAACACTTACTTGTATAAAATAATCTGTTAATATTGTGACTAGGAACAATACCAAAAAAAAAAAAAACACATTTCCTCCATATTCGGAATGATCTACAAAACTGTTTCACTTAGTCGGGAAATAAGGAAACTACACCACGGTTTTGTGAAACACATCATTTTTTCCATGCTTTGGTAAGCCACAATTGTCCTACCTAGCAGTTAGCAGAGAGATGTCGTATAAAGGAACTAACATCTACCAAGGCTGAGCTTGCTAGAATAAAAGATGTGCCAAGAGGCCTTTCCTTCCTTTCAGTAATAAAGAACTGAAAATGAAATGGTTGATTCCCCCTTCAGGTGGGTAATATACCTTGCACCAAGAGATGCCCGGCCTTGTTCCATCTGGGAGCAAGTCTGGCTATGAGTGTGTACGAGAGACAGGTCTGCAGAATGGCAGGAGTAACTGTCTGTGGTGCTTCCAGCTGAAAGCAACAGCGAGAAAAGAAAAAGAAGAATCATTTAATGGCTTTTWAAATGGCTTCAGTCAGCACTTCAGCAAAGATACTGCTATTATATTTGGGGGCCAAATCCCAGTAAATGTTAATATCTTTACTTTTCACCTTCTTATCTACAGCGGGAAGTTAGCATAATATTTAATGTAAGCATATAGATTTTTATCGGTCATCACTACAAAGTGCCAAAGTGCACAACAGTTCCTTAAATGTTTTCACAGGGACAGCAATGGAGCTAAGGGAAAGCTGAATTGAAGTCTATCCAATATTTTATGAAATGAACATCTTTTAGCCATGACACTCAAAACTCTTCAAATACTACTCTGCTGTCAAATTCAATACGAGATGTTGTTTGTGATCACAAAGGCATTTGATAAATGTRTTCTCAGAATCCAAATATATGCTTATGCATCTGGAAATAAGAAAAAAACACGTCCTGTGGTTGTGCAAATAAAGTGGTAGAGCTATTGACTGTGATTAAAGTAACTCTTTTCACTTAGCAATTTTAGTATGTCTGTAGATACATTCATAAATACATAAACATTGCATAGCATAACACAGCAAAACATACGCATAATAGTCTAAAAATGTATCAGCTCAGGGTTCCATTTATCTTCTAAAGTTTTGTTTTGTCTCCCTGAGACAGTTCCACAAAGGTTGCATATAGTCCAGGTGGGGATGGGGACCCAGCTGAGCTGTGTGAGCACCCAGGCATGGGAGCACTGGGACACGTGCACACAGGGTAGTGCCAAAGAGGCAGCTGCAGGTTTCCAACCCAAACAGCCTCGCCTTCAGGTCAAATACTAACACCCTTGGAAAGGGACTTTAAAAAAAAAATTGTCTCTGATACAGTATCCTCATTATAATCAGGTTTGCAAGTCACATTTTGCCTAGGGGCTGGTGCTTTTTCCTTTGAAATCCTGTCTGCTGTAGTGAGAATTCCAAGAAACAAATTTCATTACTCATCTTTGGGAACAGAAACTGCACGTAAGCATARTAAATCTTAACAACAGAAGGCTAGTAACATCTTTGAGCACTTACAGTAGCTCCTTGTTTCACTATATGTGCTTGACATACTCCAGTTTTGAAAAAAGCTATCTGAAAAAAACAACCAAACAAACAAAACCAAAGAAACAAACCACAAATCTCCATGTATCTGTCATTAAAGAGATATTTTAGCAAATCATAAATTAAGTCTGGCCCATCAGTACCTTTGCCTCAGAAAAACACATTTGGAAAGATTTCCAGTAAACACCGTATCTTGTATTTTAAAGGAGAATGGTAACTGAGCTGTGCATTTATCTTAGTGTAATCTGATTTCCCACTAAAGATATATTACCAAGAAAGCAGAGGCCTGCCTAGAAAGCAAAGGCAGAACCCTGACAGTGCTGCAGTCTCTGTGAATTGTGTGGATCTGGAAAGGCCACTTCATCAAAATAATAGATGACATAAGCTCTCATCCACATCACTAATGCATATAACTACAAGTTCACTTTAAATAATTGTAATTGCTTAAATAAATTATTTAAATAATTAAATAACCTGGTCCTCAGGCAAAACATTAGAAAAACGTGTACCCGTAAGTGCAAATATTTGTTTACACAGTGATTACTGACCGCCATTACTACTGAAATTTGATTCAGTGTTCCAATTGCAGGTGCAGAGAGGATGTCTTGATGTGTAAATAATAATTGTCTATAAAGAAAAGTTTGACAAAATCAGAACTAATTTTCTGTAGTCGACTTGCTCAGCTTACATTATTTTCCTTACCTTTTACAAACACAATGCATTACGTTTTTAATTGATTTCTAGCAGTTTAATAAAGTATGTTGCTGTATCCCAAGATGSAGGCTCTAAGAACAAGACTATAGTCCATGACAAACAGAAAAAGACCCCAGTGGCTCTTACTTTGGTAGAATTTCTCATTTCTTCCCCTTCCCAGCAGAGAGAACAGCACAATGCTTGTTGTGCATGGGGAATGTCTAAATGCTTTATGAGTACTCTCTTTACTCAGTCTCAGCCTTCATAAAGCAGTGCAGTAGCTCAGAAGAGACACCTAAAGTATTCCAGCTTTTTACGTCATCATAGATTAATCTTAACTAGTTATTAATTCCACATAGTAGGTCTTGTTACTTTTACCAGATCACATTTAAAATGTGATTTAAAGGATGTCGTGCTTACTGCCATTACGAATTTCCATTAATTATTGCCAATAAAATCCTTGAATAACGACCTCCAAGAGCTTCTGAAAATAACAGGTCTCAAAATGCTTTACCTGCAAATCTTTATCTGTGCAGTTCTTATTTCAGATTCTGGCAGCTGGGGGCTCAGGGTTACTGTAACGGCACAGAGCTTTTCTAGCTCAGGCAGACTGACAAAGAACAGAGACTGGTGTCTGGTGTCATTCATGTTCTGTTGATGATTGTCCCTGAACAGCAGCTTGATCTTAGAAGACAAAACGAAAACCAATATTATAAATAATATAAACAATAGATATAAAAATAATATACATATTATGAATTATTATATATGATAAATATATATTATAAATTTTAGGACTAGAGGAAATGGCTACAAACTGAAGCATCGGAAGTTCCACAGGAACTTAAGAAAAAATTTCCTAACAGTGTGGGTGCCAGAGTCTTGGCACAGGCTGCCCAGAGAGTCTGTGGAGCCTCCTTCTGTGCAGATCTTCCAAACCCGCTTGGATGCAATCCTGTGCCACRTGCTCTAGGTGACCCTGCGTGTGCAGGGGGGTTGGACTAGGTGACCTCTGAGGTCCCTTCCAACCTTAAGCATTTTATGATTCTATAATAATATAAATAATATAAACAATATTAAAAGGCAGGTATTTGGAAAACTTTTAAGTATATGATATCAGGCAAACCAATAATCAATTAATTGTCTTTTGATTAAGATTAACATAGGCTGTATCACTAATAATGATCACAGACCATTTTTTTCTCCAATTCTTGCTCCCAGAGACGTGTGTGAAGAAGAGCATAGTGTTTTGGTGTGTTTTTAATACATGCAATGCTACACATTTATTAAAATACCAAGAAACCATGGCAGGTGTTTGGAATGTGGCCGAGTGCATAATAGTTCCAACACAGCTCTCTCTCCACATAATTATTGACTATATTTCCAGGTCAAGAATATGAGGTAGTTTGAAGTGCTCAAGATTGGTGTCCTGTGAGAAGTTAGTGYGTGGGGTACRTGCTTGTTCCTCACTATGCCACTGRGCAGACCTGACCAACTCCATAGCATTTGGAATTTCCTAAACATGCCAGTAATAGCCCTTGAAATTCTTTACCTGTGTATCTTTACCTGCAAATCTTTACCTGTGTATTCCTTAAGTCCTTAAGCCCTTAATTCCTTTCAGCTCTTATTTTGGGCTGAAAACATGACTCTTTTACTCTTTCTTGCTACTTTTTGCACACTYGGAGTGAGAGACCAGATACTGTGATCATTCCATAAAGATTCATGCTGTTGTGACTAAACTGTGACTATTTAGGATTATACCCTGGCCAGAAATAGGAATCTAYTTCTTTCCATGGATTTGTTTTTTCRAACACCTTTGAGGGGTCGCACCTTATCCATGTTATCCCACAGCAATCACACATTTCATGTGAGTGAGAGCAAAATGAAGTAATGAGCCGTTGGCTGTACGATCATTGTATGATTTTATATACTGCACAACAGCCAGGCACAATGTAAAGGAACTGGAATATTTATAACACGTGAAAGAACTGCTAAGTTGTCATTACTCAGACAAAACACACCCTTTTACCATAGCCACTTTCTCAGCGGCTGTGAATCACTGTTGCAAAGTTAAGTAGGAAGTCTGCTTTTCATCCAAACCCAGACAAAAGCAGTGCACAAAGAGCTGTTCTAACAGTCCTCCCCATGCAAACTCTCAAAAAACTTGCTTGAACTTGCCTTGCCAGAGAAATCAAGAAAGTAATAAATATAAAGCAATTTGTTTTTGTTGATCTCACAGAATCACAGAATGGTTAAGGTTGGAAGTGACCTCTAGGATCTGAAAACACTTCTGAGAAGCAATGCTAAACGCAACTTTGTTTTTCTGATTTTGCTTTGCTTTTTTATACTGTAGTACGTTTAAGAGCTAAAAYATCCTTAGTCATGTGATATTCACAATACCAGTGTTTTCTAACTGCAATTTTAAAGAGATATTTTTTCTATCCCTAAAGGATGCATTTCAAGTTTCTTTCTTCCACTTGTAAGGAGTAGAGATTTTTTTCAAGTGCCTTCAAGATTATCATTCCATCAGGAAATTCCAGGAGCTACAGCTTTCATGAAAAGCCCATTTGAAAAGAATGAGACAAAAATCACTGTTAGTTTGTGAACACAGAAAAGAAGGGCCTGTTCCTCAACTTTCATAATGCTTAAAATAATTCCAAATAGTCACCTGGGGACTTTCTGTGCTAAAGACGTCGTAAAACACGGGCTGCAACGTTCCAGTGATCTGCTTGCTGGCTGGGGACAGCTCCCCTCTGGGAATCACTCACTGGATTCTGTCTTCCTGGAGATCATAAAAGCTAATGGGACACAGCGCTTGCAAATGGTTTGTCCCTTCAGGGGAGGCAAAAAAAAAAAAAAAGGAATAATACAGAAGAAAACTAAAAAAGAAAGAGTAACAGTTAACCTAGRTTTATCGAGTTTAAATTGAATCGCATTAACACAATTCTTTTCCTCACAGGTAGCAGGCCTTAAGGGTGAAAGATAGGCTACACCTTTCGAGGCCGAAAACGTTTTTCTAAGCTTGCTCTTGGAAACACTGCAGGGTTGAAAACACTGCAGAAATGTCTGCCAACCCAAACAAGCCTTTCACCAGAAGGCACTTTTCATTGCTTTTCAGAGAAAACAGGTGAATCTCAGAGTTTGGAGGGGGTATTTGGTGTTTTCATGGCAGCCTGGGTGAGGGGATGAAGAGCCTCCATATTCACGCCAGGAAGAGCTGGGAAGCCCTGAGGGTCTCCAGGCACACTTCCCACTGCGGTTACTGTACTAAGGCGGGCAGAGGAGCCCAAAGCAGCGCGGTTTCTACTGAGGAAACGCAGGGCCCTCCGGCTCGCTGTGCCTCGGGGAAGGGCATTTGGGTTCCGCTGGGAGGCCGCGGCCGCCGCTTCGCACTCCCTCCCTCCCGCACGTGGCCCGCGGCAGCGCGCGGGGAGCGTGGCCAACGCGCTACCGGGCCGGGCGGCGCCGCGGCCTCGAGCGCGGCGGGCGAGC